TTTTTTTTTTTTTTTTTTAATAAAATCAATGTTCTGTACTCGCAGTTAAAATTGCTTGGTTATCTGAGAGGGGGGCTTCTACAGCATGGTCCGGAGGCAATTATACTGCATTTTGTGAAAGTTATGGATTTTATCTGCGTTACATTTTCAGGAAATGCTGAAGGATGAGGTACGTACAATTACGTACCGAAATGCCATTTATCACAATAAGCATTTGTTCAAGGACAAAATTGTCATGGATGTCGGCTCGGGCACTGGAATTCTGTCAATGTTTGCTGCTAAAGCCGGTGCTAAAAAAGTCATTGCGGTTAGTTTTTCTGTTAGAACTCATTCTCACTATGTTTCCCTGAGACAGCGATTGACGATGGTCGTTTGATGATTCTCATCTACAGCTAAGGCGGCTTTTGAAATTGTTCTAGGTGCAGAAGTTGGGTCATCCGTGTTTTTCTTGGGGAATATAGAGTGTTCTCTTGGCAGGGGATCTTAGCTCGAAGCTTTTTTTGAAGTTTAACTTTTAAAGGGGATGTATGGATGGCAGTAATTTAACAGTAGTATGTCTCGGTTAATAAGATTGCCGGTAGTTTTTTCGTCGGAGAATCCCATAAAATGTAGGCTGGAGAAATTTTTAGATGCAACATCTTGCGTTTGCTTATTTGCTGTGAAAACTAATTGTAGTGATATCGATTTCGCTTGTAACACGCTGAAAAATGCTTAGACAGTGTAGAAAAGATAGTAGCTGGTCTTATATTTAGGGAAGCGTTTTTAGCTTGCCATTATCCTGAGTTCAGATTCCGTGATCAGTGCCGGATTTTTTTATCATCTCTTTCTTTATTCAAAATTACTAGCCACAGTCGCCGTGGACTGATTTTATGCCACGCATATTACCCGCCAGGTCGACATGCATTTGACTTTGCTTCCTCACACCTATTAGTTCCCGTAAAAAAAAAGTGCATTGACCCAGATGTGCTGCTCGTTCGTTAGAATTGCCACCTTCTTTACGTGATTTTTTCAAAAACTCTTAGAAATTTGCACTAGCACAGATTTGCTTTTGGCATAGCAACATTTCCATTTTCAGATATATTAGTTTTTTTGCCTCATTTATTTCTGTTTAACGTAAAGCTAATTTTGTTAGCTTATTTTTACTGTTTAACAGATCGAGTTCTCGAATATGGCAACGCAGTCGAAACAGATCGTAAAGGATAATAATCTGGAAAATATTATCACCGTTATTCATGGAAAAGTAGAGGATGTCAAGGAGTTGCCCGATGGAATTGAAAAGGTATTAGGAGCTTAGCAAGCACTCATTGATTTTATCGCTGGTGCCTTTTTTT